AGGTAGCCTTTGAATGCACCCAGCCTAGACACATTCAAGTGTAATGAAAATGAGAGTAACGTTTCATACAGATTAAAGGGGTGTCCTGATGATTTGGGTAGAACATACTCCTTCTGCCATCTGTGTCCCCAGCGACTTAATGAACCTTCTGTAGAGAAGGAGTATAGTTATGACCCTGACTCCTCTCAGGCACCCTCGGGGGGCAGCAGTGAGGCTGGCAGGCTGTAGTTAGGGCAGGTGCAGTGTGGATGCCTGGGACCAGCAGTCGGCTCTGCCACCTGCAGTGGTTCACTGTGCAGGCCACTCACCAAATTCCTCCAGACATCACTTTTGTGATCTTGAAATCAATGTTATGCAGTTTTTATGTGTGTTTCATAGAACTGGGTATCAAGAAAAAGGAGCCATTAAAATGTGAAATTGCTTTAAAAATAGGATGTGCTAGAGGAAAATAAAAATCAGGGGTTGGTATAGATAAAAGAGAAGTAGGGAAAAACCCTTTTTTAGTCCCCAGATATTGTGTGTGTACTCCCTAAATCCCAGGACTGGCTAATTATAGCTACATGAAGAGTGGGTTTTATAATTGTTATGTTATTACAAATCATAGTTCATAGTATATTTTACACTAAAAAAAGTACAGATAGTAAAAGAAGCGTTCGAATTTTTTATAGTTATAGTTTTATTTAGGATTAGTGCATGTGTTCCTTAAATATTTGGAAAGGCACTATTTTTCAGATCGAGTAATCAAATTAAATGATATTTGGTGCTAAAGAGCATATCTTTATCACTTTTTCAAATAGTGTATTTGGAAACTATTCAAAAGCTTATGGGGAGCAGAGAAAATTATTTGATACTACTGTATTCAATAAACATCTTATTTTTAAATTAATACAAATTATTCTAAGAACCAAAGAGGGAAAAATGAAAGTGATAACCAAAATCTACCTGCACAACAAAAGAGAAAAGCACAAAGGGAAGATAGATTCTCAGGTCTTTGTTAGGAATACAAACTCCATGACAGTTGCTATATATTTTTACTGGCATTTGCTGGCTTCATTCCAGAGGGTAAGTGTTGCCACCCTGTAGACTTTGCTGATGCTAAACATCTTAGAAGTTTTGACAGTGGCTCAGTCCTATTTGGTGTCCTGTTTCTTTTTATGCCTCTTCCCCTTCTGGTGCTGTGTTAGAATGGGCCAATGCCTAAAGAATTTCAGGTTGGAATGAAGCTGGAGGCCGTCGACAGGAAGAACCCTTCCTTGGTGTGTGTGGCGACCATAGCAGATATTGTTGAAGATCGCTTGCTAGTGCATTTTGACAATTGGGATGATAGTTACGGTTACTGGTGAGACACCAATGTGTTTTATTTTTGTATGTGCATGTGTTTGGTGTTAAGAATTTATTTTCATGCTAGTACTATTGCTATTATTGCTCTTCCGATAGTGATGAACATCAGGAATTTCGTGGGTGACTATTCACCACCTTCTCTTGCATGTGAATTGTTGAATTAAGAAGCCCCAGAATATGCTTGAAACTCGGACTTGGCGGGGGACGGGGGGCAAGGGCAACATAGGTAACCTAAACATCTGTACCCCCATAATATGCTGAAATAAAAAAAAAAAAAAAAAAAGAAACCCCAGAAACTTTTTCTCCGTTTTATGAGAGGTTGCCTAATGAGGCCTTATCTGAAAGCATGTGACCAGTTCAGGACACTTCACTCACTGTACTTTGTCTAGTTTGTAAGGGAAACATTTCTGTGAAGAGGGAGTTAACTTGTAGCATTTTTTTAATCTGGAAAATGTTGAACTCAGCCTGTCACATTTTTAAAAGGAAAGATTCTGGGAGAATGGGAGTGAATTCTTCGAAAACCTACGGGGAGCAGAGAAAATGTATGCCAAGATGCCATTAAACTAACGTTGCACAAGTTGAAAGAGTTTTTTGGATAAAAACCTGAAATATGGAAGAGGTCATGGCAAAAATCATTTTTGTAGCATTTCTTCACATACGTCCTGCATAATAGACAAATCCTTGCCTGAGGCAGTGCTTCTTCTCGTGCATGTTGGGGCCCTGTTTCCTCCTTTGAACTAAGAAGCAGAGCAGAGAGTAATTGTGGCATGTGTCTTAGGTAGAATATACTGGGTTCTTTGAAAAGGCGAGGGAGGGAAAATGTAGTCATCTGGAGTTTGACTGTTCTATTAAAATTTGGACTGTCCTGTTAATATTTTCCATTGCTGCAAGCAGTGGCAGAAGAGGTTTATTGAAATGTTCACTCTTGGGGACATTACCTGCAATTCAGGTCCTTGTCAAATCCACCTTTATTTTATACTTTTAAATTTTAAGAAGGTTATGTAA